AAATATTATGTATTTTTGACTTTGGCGACACTGACGTGGAAGAGCTCACACATCATTTCAAGCCTCTTCTCTTGTCAGCTGGAGTGGATGTTGACTTGATCCCAGATCAATGGACTGTACTAAAGTCACGACTGTACCAGCAAATGGGGCCCTTAGAGAAGATAACCTGGCCTGCTGTGAACAGGATGCTGGACCATGAGTGTCCTGATATTCTTCAACTTTTTGACCTCATACTTGCCATCCCATCATCTTCTGCTGACTGTGAACGAGGTTTTAGTTTAATGAAGTTGGTGAAAACTGAGACTGAAGGCTGAGACACTCTGTGACCTTCTTACTGTCCAGCTGAACTCTCCTGATATCATGCACTTTGATCCCACCAACGCCATTGAGATATGGCATGCAGAGTTTTTACGTTCCCGCAGACCAGAGTTCACACGCAAAGACCGAGCTGAAAAACAGCACTTCTTTAGTGACACAGTGGACTCTGAGGATGAGAGCTCTCATCTGAGCATTTGCTTAAGTGAAATTCAGATTTTATAATAAATAATAATAAAATATATAATACATTTTTATAAATAAAGATGTGACATAGTTAATCTGATTATTTTCTTTCTTTCTTTCTTTCTTTCTTTCTTTATTTCTTTCTTTCTTTTTTTTTTTTTTTTTTCTGGCTAGTAGAAGTCCTGAATGGCCGGTAACATAAAAATTTAGTAGCCAAATTGGCTGGTGAGTGAAAAAGTTAATTTCAAACCCTGGATGTAACCATTTGGTTCCATTTGATAAACTGATCTTTGACACCAATCACTAATAAGTGATTAAATCTAGAGAAGTATGCTCAGGATGTATGAAAGGGTGTGCATTAATGTTAGTCAAAAATGACAGTATACTCAGACAGATATTAAAGATAAGTTGCTCCTGTACAAACTGAACTCACATTTCTCATAAAAAGAGTAGATCATACTAGACAGTTTTAACCTTAAAGAGCCTATGCATGTGGTTCAGCAGGTATAGTGGAAGCAAACTTAAATGATTTAATACAGTAGGACTATGTATGGCTCAAAATAAAATCTCACAAATGTGAAAAATAAAACGATGTGATATAGGATCACAAATAAAGCTGATTTTGTAGATATTTAGCATGCAGTTATGACAATATGGCAACTGTATAAATGAATTTTTCTCAGTGTTGACTGGACTATACTGCCACCCTCCTCAGGTACTGAGAAATAGCCTAATATAGTCTAGCTGTAAATTAAAACAAACAGAAAAGAGGGACAAATGTGAAGATGTTGCTGTAAATGTATCAGAGAACTTTTCTACTGCAAATTTAGACATCTCACTGTAGAAATCAAAAAATGAAGATTATTTATGTGAAGGACATTCCTTCCTTTTTTTCTTTAACTGATATAAAAATCTCAGTGTCCTCTGGAAACACTGGGCACAGTGCAGGAATAAACATTGAATGGGACACTAGCCCATTACAAAGGCAGCACACACACTCACACACATTCACACCTAGGGTCAATGTAGGCTGGATAAAACGCCTGCTGGCAGGCTTTCTAATTCTTACACATATTAAGACAACTAGTTTGTGTTTTCCCTATGTGTGTGACTATGTGTTTTACTTACCCATAAGGAATAGAACATGGCAGGGTGTGCTGTTATAGAAAATAACGGCTTTTGGCAAATGAGATTTGAGATGAATGTAAATAAGATGCTCTAGCAAGAGTCAGTATGACGTTTAATTTTTATCAATTAGTGTTGCAAAATTTGGAAAATCCTTGTGCTAAGCCAGGGAGCCGGAATAGAAATAATAATAATGTGCAAGCATAGAAGCATTACAAGTTAAAATTCAACAGTCAACTCTACTCCTTAGTAGGGCTTTGTTGGTGTTATTTATGGCAGAAATAACCCACACAATGCCATTAGGAGAGATCGTAAAAAGTTCAACATAGGTTACACATGGGTCTTGAATAATCTGATGACTAATTCAAGTTCAGATTATAGTTTTAACCTCAAACATAAGCTTACTGGCTGTGGTTAACATTTACAGCTTTGGTAGACCTAAATGCTACAATTTTACCCAAATCCAGTCTTACGTGACAATTTTAACTACCTTAGTCTAAATGTACTAGAGCACATTAACAACTATAGGACAGCTGTACCTGCAATAGTTTAAACGTATATTCAATACATAAACAACTGTGACAACGTTAGCTACATTAGCCTAATGCATTAAACAACTATTCAACATCAGCTAAAGCCACATTAGTCTAAATGTATATTCAGTACATAAAGAGATGTCAGTGTTCTGATATATCATCATTTCTCTCCCAGGCTGTGTTGGTGTAAACTCACAGGGGAAAGCTGTAGAGCTCTGTCCTCAGTTCTCAGCTCAAACTCCTCCAGTCTGAGAGAACTGGACCTGAGTGACAATAACCTGCAGGATTCAGGAGTGAAGCTGCTCTCTGCTGGACTGGAGAATCCACACTGTACACTGGAGACACTGAGGTCAGTAGATTTCACATTTTGTTTCTTTTATTGTCACTATTGGAGTTTATACTTAATAACTGTAAGATGTAGAGCAACAAGCCTGACATATAACAAAGGACTGACAGAAAATTACACATTTTACCATTTAAACCTTTAAAAATATACATTTAAGTACTAGTGCTACATTTCATTCTGCACCAATGTTGAGATGATTGATAACCTGGTTAAACTATACAATGAATTAAAATGGTAGGTTGCTTTATAATGCATTCTTGATACAGTAGATCAGTTAGCACACATATGTTTGATACCCTTCTATGTCCTAGAAAATTACTAAATCCCTAATTAGTTTGTTATAAACCGTTTCCGTAAAACCGTAAAAAAAATTAGAATTTTTATATTAGGATGGATTTTTGAAAGGAAATGTTAGAATAAACAGTATCAACAATGCATATTGATCTAGCCATCCCTAATGTAAATGTTCTCTAGAATAACTTTCCTCAGACCTGCTGAACACACTGAATAAAAGGCTCTGCTATAAATAAATATATTATCTTTTGTAGGAAAATGTAGAACACGCACAAAAACAAGCGCACACACACGCAGATGTGAGTGTTCTGATATTTCATCATTTCTCTCCCAGGCTGTGTCGGTGTTGCCCCACAGAGGAAAGCTGTAGAGCTCTGTCCTCAGTTCTCAGCTCAAACTCCTCCAGTCTGAGAGAACTGGACCTGAGTGAGAATAACCTGCAGGATTCAGGAGTGAAGCTGCTCTCTGCTGGACTGGAGAATCCACACTGTACACTGGAGATACTGAGGTCAGATCATCACTTTCACATTTTGTTTATTTGATTGTCATTATTATAGTATAAACTTAAAAAAATAAAATGTAAAGCAGCAAGCCTGATATATAACAAGGGGCTGAAAAAAAATGTTAAAATTTTAGTTGTATTTAAAAGAATACATTTCATTCTATATTAATTCTGGTAAAACTACAAAATAAATTCAATTATTTGGGTGCTTTTATTTGTAATGTATTCTGGGTACAGTAGATCAATTAGAGCACATGCATATAGTCTACAGGTGCACTGTAGGATGCTATTAGATTCATTTCTGGACTGTCACATCCTAAAAATTACTGAATCCCCAAGTAGTTTGTAAGATATGAAACAAGGTGTTTATTTAAGAAATCAACTGTCACATGCACATCTGCAACATCCATCAAGCAAATGCAAACACCTATCCCTGTTGGCAATCACCAGACTTCAGATCATGCAAACATGGTTACAATATCACAAATTCCTTGAAATAACCTTGAATTTCAGTCTTTCATTGTGAAGTCCTTCTCCAGCATAGTGCTTGTGATGTTGCTAAACTGTTTATGCATCCTGTAGACCAGGTAGCATGCACAAAATACAAAGGCTTGGACACATCATAAGGTACACTCAGAGCAAAACTTCGCAGTATATGTGAGTTCACAAAGGCTATCCTGATGGTTACATCACCATTCTTAGCAGATTGCATGCACAGGTCGTTTGATTTCATAGTGGGAATAAATTTTTGCATACAGCCAGGATTCACTCCCTGGACTGGTCTTCTCTGTTTGTATATTGCTGTTTTTGTGCGTTGCTGACAAAGTAAATGTTCTATTTACTACTTGTAATGACTTAATGTAGTCAGCTGTAGCAAACGAATCAAGAAAGTACTATTTGTTTCTCTTGATCTGTCAGGAGTTTCAAGTTTTTCTAGGTATGAACCATGTGTGTATCCATAATTAAAATGTCAAAGAGTTAGAAATACCAATAATTGGACCATGTTATTACCCTGTTGAACCGTGTTACAATATGATTCAAATAGTGAACAGTTTAGTTATATAGAATTTGATGGTAATTAAGGTCTTCACAGAGTTTTGTATAGTTGTCTACAGCAGCAACATTCTAATTTGTTATGATCACGCACTGACGGCATAATGAGAAGCAAGTGTGGAGCAATATCCCCACCTTGTGGACATTTACATGCATAGCATTCTTTGTACCTAATTTGCCACACTTTATAACACAAAGGCTTTTTAAAATGCATTTTAAAAGAAGTTTGCAAAATTTGCTGTCTCCCTCCTATTTCCATCCAGTTGGCCTTTTACCGATAAAATTGTGTGCGTGATGATGTCATCCTTAAAAAAAAATCGTTGCATAGGTTTTGTTGTATCGTAAAAGAAATCTGCCCTTGAGCTGTTTCCATTCACAATTTTCTGTTATCGACAAAGTGAAAGTGCGTAAAAAAAAAAAAGTGCTGTCACCTTTCTATTTCCATCCAATTGGCCTTTTACCAATAAAATGGTGTGCGTGATGACACAAAAAAAAAACAAATTGTAGCATAAGTTTTGTTGTATCGCAAAAGAAATCTGCCCTTGAGCTGTTTCCATTCATAATTTTGTGTATATCACAAATTGTGTACCTTGCATCCCACATGTCCTCAAATCTTTGTAAAATGGAGAGAGGTCTTCTGGGGTCAATGGAGGACTAATGGTTAGGCCACAGCGCTCTCACTGCTGCAGCTTGGGGTTCGATTCCCAGCCAGGGAACCAACCCCAGCCACTGAGGTTGTGCACAACAGTGTGCTCTCAGTGCCAGTCCCAAGCCCGGATAAAATTGGGGAGGGTTGTGTCAGAAAGGGCACCTGGAGTAAAAATGATCTGGTGTGGTGACCCCTAACGGGAGCAGCCGAAAGAGGAGCAACAACTCTAACACAGTATTCTAAAAAACAAAAACAAAAACACCAATGCTGTGTCCCAATTTGCCTACTATCTGTCCTAAATAGTATCTGAGTTTATATTTAGTGTGTCCCAAATCGTAGTATGTTGAAAGGAGTATCCCAAAGGTACCCAGATGAAAACAATGCATAGTGAAGCAAGTGCTGTAGAGCAACTTGTTTTGCACCGATGTGTGTGACTATATGGCCAAAAGTTTGTGGACATCTGACCATAACATTCATACAGCATGTACTTGTTGAACATCCCACTCCAGATTTAGTCCCAATTTGCTGTTATCCTCCTCTCCTCTGGGAAGCTTTCCACTAGATGTTGGAGCGTGGCTGTGGGGATTTGTGTTCATTCAGCTACAAGAGCATTAGTGAG